AATCTGACCTAAACTGCGACTATTAGGAAGAGACACCACTGTGAATATCAGAGGGGTAGCTGTGTTAGTCTGTATCCACAAAAACAACAAGGAGTCCAGTGGCACCTTAAAGACTAACAGATTTATTTGGGCATAAGCTTTTGTGGATGCATCTGAAGAAGTGGGGTTTTTTACCCACGAAAGCTTATGCCCAAATAAATCTGTTAGTCTTTAAGGTACCACTGTGAATAGTTACTTGTGCTTTTAGGACTAGAATGAGATTAACTCATTGCACACAGGCTAAACAACCACCAATGGGTTAATTTACAGCCACTATGAACATGGCCTGGATTTTGAACGACCTAGTGGTAAAAGGCTCTCTGTGTCCCATTATCAATCCCTTAAGTCACCGAGTGCCCATGAAGTTCCACAATTTTAAGATCCTTAGCCAGAAATACAATGAACAGTGCTGTCACTTAAAGAGTGGTAGACCTGCCAGGCAAACTGCAGGGTTTCGGAGAGTCCCACAGGGCCTGCCACATTGTGGCTGTGCTTGAAGCTTTATTTTGGTTTTAAAAGGCTTTTTTGAGCTTTACTTATGCTTTTTTTTTTAAAAGGGATTTTCATACTAGGGAACAACTAAAAATACACCATATTAAAATATCTCTATTTTCTTGTCATATGCTAGTCAGAGTTCTCTTTGCCACTTGTGCTAGCTATTAAAAGCATTTTTATAGGCACTTCTCTCTTGCTTCTCCTGCTTGATCCTGCAGTGAAGTTGTAATGCTACTCGTGTAGCAATCAGCTCTGCATCCACATTCTGATGTCAAACGCAGCATTATGATTTCAATGTAGGATAAGAAGGGAAAGTTGGGATGAGGGAAGAGTGCTCATTTTCAAAAAACCCTTAACTAAAATGAGTGTGTGACAAGAAGATGAACAAATGAAATGTAACTACGTCTTCTTTAAATGTTCTGCATTTCTTCACAATTGGACCAGTGTAAGACTCCCTTTCTAAATCTCCATCCACCACTATGGTATTTCCACCTCACACAAAGGGATTTGCACAAAGCTGAGAGAAAGAGTACCCTCTGGGACAGTTTTGAAGCTTTAAAAGTGATGATACCGTAAGTGAAGCCCTAAACTACAAACAAGGATAGTTTATAACCAGCTATTTTTTCCAATTATCTGGGAAACCCTAAACTCAATGTTCAAGAATCCGTTCAACAGTTGAGCACTTCACCAGTCCTTCCAGATAAGGGAAACTTGGCTAACTTGGTTAATACAGGATTTTAATCATTTTTCTTTAAATTTTACAAAAGCTTTCCAAATCCTCTTTAATATTGTTTTGGAGCTTATCTGCTCAACTGCAGAGCTATAGCAAAGTCATTGAGTCTGCATCTGAGCACAAATTTATGTGAAAATCTTACCACTCCAAAGAGTAGACATTTTGTAAGTCTAAGATATTTACATAAGAACGGCCATACTGGGTCAGACCAAAGGTCCATCTAGCCTAGTATCCTGTCTTCAGACAGCAGCCAATGCCAGGTGCCCCAGAGGGAATGACCAGAACAGCTAATCATCAAGTGATTCATCCCCTGTCGCCCATTCCCAGCTTCTGGCAAACAGAGACTAGGGACATCATCCCTGCCCATCCTGGCTAATAGCCATTCATAGACCTATTCTCCATGAATTTATGAAGCTAGAAGCTTAGGCATGCTGAGCCTAACTTGTTTAAGTTAAAAGGGGAAAAAAGAATTCTTCAGAATTACTTTTCTATTAAAAAAATAGAAATTGTTGTATATTGTATATTTTTGCTTTTTATGCTGCTCTGCACTGTGTGAAGGAGTGTACAGCTCCTTTAAGGGACACTTCAGAACCTAAACAAGAAGACCCTGCCTTGGCCTAGGGTTATATAAACAGGAAGTGGAAGCTGAGTGAGAGAGATGTAGCCATGTAGGCTGGAGTATGTAATGGTTGTTTTCTCTCAGGCTCTAGGAGACCAGCCTAACCAAAGGCTTTGTTTTGTGGACTTTAAGTTGAGAGATGAACCGGGGTTCTGAGATGAGGACCTTATGATTTATCTACCGTAGTTACTCCTTTCCTAAAGTCTTATTGAAAGAGGAAATGCTCTTTTGTTAGTGTGTGTTGGCTTCTTTCCCCAAGGCTGTTAAAGTGAACCTACTGCCACCCAAAACAGGGGAAATTAAGGTGGGGCATACCTGCAGCATCACACTGGGCCACAAAGGGGTGTGTAGCGACTTCCTCACCTTTACACATTGTTTAAAAACTAACGTTTTGAGAATTTACTGCACAGAAAAAGTATCATACAGAGATCCCTAGAGACTTAAAGCCTTCAGACATAGAATAGGTACAGGTACATAGAAGGGCAGCAGTGCAAGTACGCTCCCCTAATGTTCATAAACCCTAACTTGGAAGGGCAACTTCTGAGAGGGATACAGGACAATTCAAGGATGTCAAATATGTTGTGATGTAGACATGTCCATGGGAATCAAACCCATTACACATAAACCACCAGTCAAATGGTAACATTTGGTACCTACTACCACCAACAACTTAGCTGGATTTGAGCATTTGTACTGTATATAAGGTTGGGATGTTCAATGGAGTTTTAGCCTAATTCAGATTAGCCTCTCAAACTAATTGAATGTGAATCTTTTAGGAAGGGGAGTTATGATCAGAAATGAACGAATCTTAGACCAGATCTGGAAAGAAGTTCCTTTTTTAATAGGTAAACTATAATGTGAGTTTTTCCTTCTCCTTCATGCTTTTGATAAGGATTAGAAGCAGAAGATTCAATATTATGAAAAAGTGGTGTTCTTATTTCATTTTCAACCTGGCAAAACAAGGAGTTAGTGAAATTTTCACAAAGCATACAAAAAAGGCAGTTCTTGTAAGATTTCCAGACCAAATAAATCTGGATAAGTATCTGAGCCAAACTCTTCCTCATAACTCTTCCCCTTTGTTCCTGCCCTAGCAGAAGTGTCCATTATTGATCAGAATCATCATTTCTGAAGTGTGCTGTATTCAGCGAACAGGATTCTAGTCAATTTCACTGCCATTCTGCTGCTAATGAACTTACTGTGAAGTGGCTGAAATTCAAAGTGACAGTGGAAGTGTACATCCTGTGCACAACTTTATTTGAAATCACACCAGTGTTGTGTGAACAGAACCTTATATTTTAAAATGCATAATCTTCATGATACACAATTGGGAGTGCCAAAGGAGCTTTCAGGTTCATATAAATAATAAATGTACAATTTGTTTTCCTTTTTTAAGTGTCTTTATATTCTCTTGAGATAACTCTCTAGAACAACAACTTTGGATGCAATAATCTCAACACACATTAATACACCTTTGATTCACGCTAAGATGCTTTAAAAACAAAGCTACTTAAAAGCAATCTGTGTCTGCTGCCACCACAGGAAGACAGAATATACTATATTCATTCCTGATGTAATTCCACTGACTGCACTGGTGGAATTGAGCCCAGTATATTAAAATTCTGTGGTATACATTAAGGCTTTAAATTAAACCCATCACATACATAAAAATGAAGATTTATAGCTGAAACTCTTATTAATTTCATCACACCTAAGCATGCAGTAGTTATTACAGTGGGTGACAAGAGTGCTGTAAAAATCTAAAAGCATAATGAAGTGTTATGAGAGTTATGAGAAATTCCTATTCTGAAGTTAAATCAGGCTTTTTTTTTTTCTTTTTTTTTTGGATAGCGCTGAGGTAATAGGTCATTTCAATGTAATCATAATTCTGCTTAAATGAAAAAAAACACAAATCCAGTTTGAAAATCATTTGCTCAGCTATTCTTTTTCAAATTTTACCTTCCCCTCAATACTTACACACTGTCTGAGAAAGTGATATATTTAAATATAATTAGAAATTCATGCTGAAAATAAACTTCTATGCACTGTATATCTTTCTTCTTATCCTACAATGATGTATATCTGCTACTATGACTAAGCTTTTGTTTCTCAAATAAAGTTCTGGTAACCTTTGCAGCAGGGGAGTTAAAATCAGTGCAAGAGAGAAAGATTTGATGGTGTGCCAATATACAATGGAAGGGAATTCAATAAGCTGCAGAGACCGTGGGCTTTTATCAGACACATTGAAAAGTGGTGGTGGCTACACGTCAATGCTGGACCAGAGTGTGTTACTGCAGAGCGCGACTGAGTGTTTTCCCCATGGGCAATACTCTATTATTGACTCCCCCCATTAACATGTAGGGTGGATATACATTTATTGAAGGTTCTAATGGAAGGCTGAGGGACTCCTATCCTGAGGCCAGAACAGAAAGACAGCCTATCACTTCATGTAATGGTAGCCCATGTGTGACAGACCTGACCTACATTTCCCCCCTTTCTTTCTCACAACAGCCTGTCGCTGTTTTAAGAAGCTATTTTCTGAGATGTATAAAAAGAAATGCATGCTGGAGCTGCCTAGTTAATGTGTTTTACTGGAATATTATTTATAAACCTGCTTCATAAAGAGTAATTGTACTAGAGAAGATTTATGAAAGCTATCCTAAAATACACACACCCAAAAAAGAATGTGCCTTAATAATTTTGAAGTGTTTATAAAGCCATATGATATACTGTATCTTAGACATAAATTACTCAGTACCTATATCTAAACTGCTCCAACAAAATATAGTACTGGCCATAACTTGACGTAGTGAAACTGCTGCAATGATAAAAAGAATGGCTCAACTACATAATTACAGTCTAAATTCTATATTTATTAAAATTATTTGAAGTACCACTACCTAATGCCTCACTGGAAGTAATTCAATATTTTTACTGGTTAATGTATGTGTATTTATCAATATCAATAACATATCCAAATATGAAAGTAGGACAAGAGCAAATAAAACATTTGGTTCAGAAACAAGAAGCTTTTTAAAATACTATCTAACTACTATTCCAGCCCCTGCATTAAAGAGCTGTTGCCACTACAGCCAGCACTCCTCGGCAGGAACCTACCATGGCGCTGTAGGTCATACTCTTTTTTTGTCTCTTCGTTCCCTAGAATTTTCCACGCTTGATCAATTTCGATGAACCTCTGCACACGCTCCTCCACTTCTCCTGCTGGCACATCTGCGCTCTGTTTGTCTGGATGATACTGCCAATCAAAAGGAACGGGGGGGAAAGAGCGGGGAGGAATCAATAGTAAATCTGATATTCATTTAAAGGTGGGGGGGAGGAGGAGGAGGAGGTCTGAACCCAGGAAAACGAGATGACAATGTTGGGTACAGGAGATAACTGCCAGGTTAATTAGACCACTGGAATAGCAGCAAATCCACCAGTGGCACAAAATGTCACAATGTGCACTGACAACATTTTCTGGATAATTTGCTAATGGAATCATTGGTCTTATGGACAATTTACCTAGAGAGAATGACTAATGCAAACAGAAAGAGGTACATGCAGAGGAATACGACATGGGAACAAGGGGAAATGCTTTAGGTGCAAGCTGCTTTTCTTTAACACTACATCTGGCTACATTTAAAAAACAGGATCACTGTTTAGTTACAGACTAATCGCAAATAAATTGAATGCTTTATTATAGATGTACTTGGTTTTTGTACTTTAAATAGTAAAAAAAATATGTAAGATCAACTATAATTTACAATAAATGAAATTCTATTTTTGAAGCTATGCCTCAACATATTTAATTTTTTTCAGTTCAGTGAATCAATAGCTTTTCCAAATATTTAATGTCATGGATCACTGGCTACAAAATTGTGTCATTTTAGTTAAATGTGTCATTTAGTTAGTTGAGGACAAGGCTAGAAGATAAATCATGTATAAAGGCAAAAAATAAAACAAAAACACTTTAAAAATGTCTGTTCTCCTCATGTGAAATAGCACAGTCTCCCTTTTTTGTTTCAATGTCTATTGAAAAATAGCTCAGTGAATTCTCTCTTTGTATACGTTCTCAGGAATATATTATTTTTTGATATTTTAATTGTTCATATAGAATCAACACAAGAAAAACAACTACAGGAAAGAATTCGTAGGCTGGTGGCGAGGGGAATGGGACAAAGGTTATAACACTATAAGAATGCTGTTAATTCATTATATTTCAAAATATTCCATATTTACTTATTTTCTCTATATCAGGAATATTAATTTCTGCCGTACACTAACATTAGTTTGGTTATCTGAATCTACTGTAGATATTTAGACCTGGAGGACCTGTATTACAAGTGAACGCTACGTTAGAGAGAGTGAATTCTGAACAAATATTTCCAATTATAGTTTGTTTTGGAAGAAGAGAATACTGTTAGCATGTGAGCTTAAAACAACTGCCTCCCCCCCCTTCACAGTCATACGCTAAGAATTCAAAATGAACATTGCTACTAGAGTCTGCTCACTCATACACATATCTATCATTTGTATTGATGTGAATTATCTCGATAACATCCCTCCTCCCCACTCTTCAATGCAACAATGGGAGAAAAGACCACAAGGGCAAAATGTTCCCCATCTCTGAGCTCAACTGTTTTCACATTCACTTTTCTACACATAACAGATTGTGCCTGCAAAAGCGGCTGTTCACCAAAACTATAAATTCAAGAAGCTAATGTGCATAAATGCAGGATTTTGCTGTGTGTGGAATGTGTGCATTCCTTTGCAGTTAGCTGTACATTCAAAACTAGAGGCTGGCTTGAAGCTTGCTGAAAATATGGTCTAGGCATAGTTGCAGTCCACACATGATTATCTTATAGAATGTGTATTTTTAGTAAAAATTAGAGCTGTCGATTAATCGGAGTTAACTCATGCAATTAACTCAAAAAAATTAATTGCGATTAATCAGTTTTAATTGCACTGTTAAACAATAGAAATACCAATTGAAATTTATTAAATATTTTGGATGTTTTTCTATATTTTCATATATACTGTATTCTGTGTTGTAAATGATATCAAAGTGTATATTTTTGATTACAAATATTTGCACTGTAAAAATGATAAACAAAAGAAATAGTATTTTTCAATTCACCTCATACAAGTACTGTAGTGCAATCTTTGTCCTAAAAGTGCAACTTACAAATGTAGATTTTTTTTGTTACACTCAAAAACAAAACAATGTAAAACTTCAGAGCCTACAAGTTCACTCAGTCCTGCTTCTTGTTCAGCCAATCGCTCAAACAACTTTGTTTACATTTACAGGAGATAATGCTGCCCTCATCTTATTTACACTGTCACCAGAAAGTGAAAACAGGCATTTGCATGGCATTTTTGTAGCCAGCATTGCAAGGCATTTACATGCCAGATATGCTAAACATTCATATGCCCCTTCATGCTTCAGCCACCATTCCAGACGACATACTTCCATGCTGATGACGCTCGTTAAAAAAATAATGTGTTAATTAAATTTGTGACTGAACTCCTTGGAGGAGAATTGTATGTCCCCTGCTCTGTTCTACCCGCATTCTGCCATATATTTCATGTTATAGCAGTCTCAGATGATGACCCAGCACATGTTGTTCGTTTTAAGAACACTTTCACTGCAGATTTCACAAAATGCAAAGAAGGTACCAATGTGAGATTTCTGAAGATAGCTACAGCACTCAACCCAAAATTTAAGAATCTTAGGTGCCTTCCAAAATCTGAGAGTGACGAGGTGTGGAAAATGCTTTCAGATGTCTTAGAAGAGCAACACTCCGACGCAGAAACTACAGAACCCGAACCACCAAAAAAGAAAATCAACCTTCTGCTGGTGGCATCTGACTCAGATAATGAAAATGAACATGTTTGTCTGCATTGCTTTGGACTGTTATCGAGTAGAACCCATCATCAGCATGGACAGTGCCATGAGAACACCTGTTCTCACTTTCAGGTGACATTGTAAATAAGCAGCGGGCAGCATTATCTCCTGCAAATGTAAACAAACTTCTTTGTCTGAGTAATTGGCTGAACAAGAAGTAGGACTGAGTGGACTTGCAGGCTCCAAAATTTTACATTGTTTTATTTTTGAACGTAGTTTTTTTTGTACATAATTCTACATTTTTAAGTTCAACTTTCATGATAAAGAGATTGCACTACAATACTTGTATTAGGTCAGGGGTTCTCATACTGGGGGCCGGGACCCCTCAGGGGGCCACGAGGTTATTACATGGGGGGGTCGCAAGCTGTCAACCTCCACCCCAAATGCTGCTTTGCCTCCAGCATTTATAATGGTGTTAAATATATAAAACAAGTGTTTTTAATTTTTAAGGGGGGGGTCACACTCGGAGGATTGCAAGGCTGAACAAGAAGTAGGACTGAGTGGACTTACAGGCTCCAAAATTTTACACTGTTTTATTTTTGAAAACATGGCGCCACTTCCCACAGCTCCCATTGGCTGGGAACGGCGAACCGCGGCCACAGGGAGCTGAGGGGCTCCATGCCTGCAGACACTCCAGGTAAACAAAACGACAATGTATTAGATATTCAATTCAATGATTCCATAGAGTTTAAAATCATCAAATTTTAGTGTAGATTCATTTATAAGCCGACACCCGCTCTTTGATGCGTCACTTTTTTACCAAAAATATTTGGCTTATGAACGAGTATATACGGTAACTATTGATAAATGTTAAAGTAGTTAGATTACATTATGGACTAATGTAGATTGCTATAATATTTTTATATCATACCTGTCTGAGTTATACATGCAGAAAATAATTACTGAAAATGGATAATTAGATCAATTTTTTCCCTGAAAAATGGTAAAAATATTAGACTGTTCAGTAAGCTCTTTGAGGTAGATCTTATTCTTATGTTTAGTGCTGTGTAAATTTAAAACCGTGCAAATGTATTCCTAGATGGAGATTTTCTATTCCAAGTTTCAATCCCAAGGGAACCATTTTAATGGTTTAGTTATAAATCTTTAAGGAAAAAAAGCCACATAAATGATGACAGCTTTCACAACTGAAATATCTCATTAGCCTTTACTACTTCTGGAATAAGTATGTGCTTCTGTAATACATTTTCTATCAAACTTATACTTAAATGAATGGAACATTTGGAAGTACTAGATAGGTCCAGCCATATGCAAGGAGCATACACACATCTAATATATCACTCAGTACAATGAAATTTAAACAGTGATCTGAATTCATGGCATCGCTCCATGAAAATATTTAGGACAAAAGCTTTCAACATAATTCATTATAAAACCTGTTGCCCAGAATATCCTACCTTTTTATTGGCCAAGAGGCCGTCTTTAACTGTCTGTTGAAGAACATGTAGGCAGATCCTGATTTCTGAGAGGAAGCAAACCAGTCATTAATAACTGATTGCTCACAACAATGCTAAGAAAATTGGCTCCTCTCCTGCTGAGAATTTTGAAGACTCAAACAAAACTGGTTCCTCCACTACTCCTTCACAGTGAAATCATGGCTGATGGAAAATAAATTTGCAGCTTTTGAGAAGTACATCAACCAATGAGTGGGAGAAAACAATTTATCAAAGAAGTAAACTGACCATCCTTTCAACCACATCAAACTGGCCTAAAATAATTATGACAGTGGTAGAAGTAGATATTCCAGAAAATAAAGCCACAAAGCCAATGAAAATTGTTCACAAGAGCAGCAGCAGAGAATATTTTGATAATTCTTTGCTGGATAATGAACATAATTCTAATTTTTTTTAAACTTGTCGCTATCTGATTAGGAATAATAAAATGATCCATTATTGTTTAAAAACAAACCTATACCCCTTAATCTCTACAAACAAACAACACTTTCTACAATATAGATTTAGATAACTTAATACATGGTATTTGTATGGTTTATATAATCACATACATACAGTCATGGTCACCTGAATGTGCTACTGCTGCACATGCAGAACTACTTTCAGTTTTATAATATTTCTGTTAAAAAGTGATTTTCTTTTGTGGTGCTGTAAAATATTGTGTCACAGAGGCTCCTTAGCAAAGGGTCCCCTGTTTTTTGCAAACGCTCACTTCAGACCTGACAAACTCACTATACCAAACACATGTCTTATGCTATATGGATAAATATCATGCATCAGGTAAGGTATTTACAGAAAGCTTGTAACTTGTCAAGATTCATAATCATTATGAGATGCACGTATGGGTAAAATTTAAGGAATGGTGTATTTATACTGAAA